GCCTCCCTGGGGCGTGGAAAGGGGGCCTGGTTGGCCTCCCATGGGCAGTCCCTCGGCACTTTCTTATTCCCGGCACGGCAGGGAGGGGTAGTGGGTTGAAGGCGTGGGCCCATGCACAGAAGCCCGAACCTCCGTTGGGTGTAGCGTAACATAGCCCGAAAACCTGGCTGTTTGGGATCCAGGCTTGTCCAAGCATTTGGTGTTTCTGGCTAAAAAAACCTAGGGTGGGGGTTTTAAGGGGATATTGTCAATAGCCCCTTAAAGCCCCCACCCTAAGCCACGGGAGTTTCAACTTGCGCGGGGATTCGGGCTCAGCCCTTTGGTTAAGTGCGAGAGGATGCTTCTGTAGACAGGATGGTGGCACTCCGGGATTTCAGCAGCCGACATTCTGCAGCGAAGAGGCCCAGAAACCGAAGCCAGCAGCAGATTTGATCAGACCTCCGGAGCCATGGCACCAGAAGCTGCAAGCGGAAAGCTCTACCACGACAAGTTTGTGGACATCTACTCCGATCACCTATGCATCAAGTCCTACTACTTCCCTTTTGGGAAGGAGAAAAGGATCGAGATCCCTTTCAACAACAATGGAGAGCTCAGCTTCACCACTGACAGGGATCTGGGGTTTACGCTGCTCGACTGGAAGGCTTGGGGCAGCTCCGTGAACAAGGCTGCTCGACGTTTAAATGGAGGCACGCGGACCCTTCAGCATAGATTGCAAATGTTTGATCACGAACACGCTCCACATCGTACTTCGACTTGCCACCCAACCATCAAACAAGTACAGGCTGCAGGTCAGGCTGCTAGACTGTGACCACGTTCCAATGGTCAGCATCTCATTCCTATTCATACTCATGTTCAAAGTACGAACTGTCCCGAGCCATGTTTCGGCACTATAAAGAATCCACTATGCAAAAATCTGCCCCGTTCAGAAACCCACATTGAAACTATTACTTTACGCGTTTCGGCGTTTTTTGGTTTGAAGTTGAGCACGTTCCCTTTTTTGAAGCAGTTTTTTTGCACAGACCGGGAGTGGGTGGGGGCGGGTGTGTGTGGGTGGGTTGGTGGGTAGTCAGTGTTTGCGCGTTGTCGGTTGTGAAGTGTGAACGCTCTGGTTGGGAATTGTGAGTGCTGTGGTTCTTGTGCATGAAGTGGCTGGTGCCGTGACGTGCTACAGTGTGGTGCCCCCAGATCTGGTCGGCAATGCAGTGTCATGAACAAAATGGGGATTCGGTGATTAGGCCGGGGAGTGCTTCCGAGTTCCGAACAACCTCCGATTTGCGAGCCCTCCACCCACCAAATGCCGCCGTCACCCATACCCCAGGCGGCCTTGGCACAGTCGAGTGAGTGAGTGCGTGCAGCCGCCTTACCGGTGTGGCTCTTAGCCTCCGTTCACCACAGTAGCTTCGACCCCTGGTCTCGCACCGGCGTGGCTTGCCGGTCACCCGAGTGGAGGGAAGGCATCTGCGCCCCACCGGCACTCGCAGGAAGTTTTGTGACTCTCCTAATCCCGCCAGTACTTGGAGAAAGCAGTTTGGCAGTGTCCTGATCGTGTCCGTCGTGATCGCCGTGGGGCTTTTTCACCGTTCGGGAATCTACGCTGGCATGATTAAAATGTGTGTTTGGTCGCATGCTCTTACATTTACTATTAGTCATTTTCTTTCACGTTCTCTGCTCTTCTCACCCCGGACCCCTAAACGTACCATCCATGAGCGCTACCATACACACCATCTCATGACGGCGATGGGGATTGCTCGGACTCTGACAACCCATTACTGCTTTGTGCTGCGGGTGCTGGTAGTATGGCCAGACGACAGCAACCATCAGCAGAATATCGAGGAACCTACCCTGGACCCTAAATAGTAGGAGCATCATTGTAAGGTCGCCCAATAAGGGAACTCGTATTTCAGAAGCCCTCACAAGCGGCTTGGTCACTGAGGTTTGGTGGGCACTGGATTGGACTCGGCGCCCGCTTGGGAGTGGCCAGAATGTGGGGATTATCATCACCGTGGCGAATGATACATTCCGAAACTTGGCCAAGGTTAGCCTTTCAGATCCTTTTTGCTTTTTGTGGTGTGGGTTTCCGAATATTTTTTGAAAGACAGTCTCTGAACAGGATCCTCTTCTCTTTCCAAGGAAAGGGGTTCAGCGTCGAAGATGCCACGGCGGCCCTGAAAGTTCTTGAAGCACTGCTCCCAAGAACGGAGCATCGCACATCCAGGGGAGCTGGAGAGCTGGAGTTGTCTAGGTGACGTAGGACGGGTTTCAACATGTTTCAACAAGTCGGAGCTTCACAACAGATTGAGGTTTCGGCTTCGGCAAAGGCCCAGTACCTTTTGTGGTCAGACTGGACGTTTGTGTCCGCGCTGATCGCTTCGTTTGTGTTCAACCCTGGTGAGCAGTAGCAACAGGTAGATTGACCATCTGCTGGATCCAGCTGTATTCTTGCAGTGCGCAAGGCCTGTTTGTAAGAACCCCTGTAACTGCTCTGAACAAGGTACGCTTTGGCTTTAGTTGATCTGCTCAAGTTGCATTGAACTCGGAGCTGTGAGTGAAGCAGGTGAGGGTCCTGTACAGGAACCCCGCCGGGTGATAGAGATTGCATCAGACACCACTTCATAGAAGCCCCCACAGAGACTCTAGACTCAAACCCTAAACCTTAAACCCAAAACCCGTAGACCGTACTATAGAGACTCTTATCAAGCCACGACTGGGTTCAATCCCTCCGGTGTAGAGATGATCCTGCCATCTCCAGGCTCAGGCGCGCACCTGGGAAAAAGCGATCCCTCCGTCTGAGTTTAGGGTCTTAGGCTTCACTTTGGTGTTTTATGGTTTAGGGTTTAGGGTCTGTTGCTCATTACAGGCTGTTTTCACTTTGTAGCTGTGATGGCATGTTTTCACTTCCTGTTCCGCCCAGAGAACTCAACAACTAGGGAATGTAGAGTCAGAAGTATAGCTGTTGTGGGACCCAGGTTCAGGCAGGATTGCACCAATTCATCGAATTCGCCGTTCAGTGGAAGTCAACAGATCTCAGCCACGAACACGGCTCGGGTTTTTGGTAGAGGAAAGTTGAAGAGGGTGCTGGTCTAAGACTCAACGAGAGGCTTAGTTTGGTTGAGACTCGGCCATTTGCAACAGCACGCCCTGGAATTCACTCATGACCCAACCCCAACGCCCTAAGCTGGGTAACCTTAAAGCTCCCTCTATCCCCGAGAACCCCTAAACCCCTAAACCCTAAAATTGCAGACACTTCATTCTGGCACACCAGTAGCAGGCGCTATAGGGAGCTACTCACTTGCCGATCGTATTCCAATGAAGGCCTCTGTACCATGTCGAGGTCATGGTCAGCTTCAACTGGAGTCCTCTTGGTTTTGTCTGTTCTCCTCCCGCTTGACGGGAGCTACATACAGTTGCTTGCTGCCTCTTGCGAGGAGGAGATTAAGGGTACCGTTGAAGTAGACCTAGCGGTAATCGGCGCAGGGAAGGCTCCACCCTCCCAAATAGAAGATTCCCAAAATAGGGGACCCTAATATAGTACCCTAAATAGTAGGATCCTTGTGATCAGGACCCAAAACTAAGGTACCCCTAATTTTCGGAAACCCTCCCAAATCCCAGGTCAGCTCAGAGGTCCTCCTAGCGGTTGGCCACGGCCTCTGCGGCTGTGGTTCGGATGCAGGGCTTTGGGATCTCGGGTCCTTCGGGATGCGAGAGTAAATCCGAGACTGTTTGGGCACCGGGTTCGAGACGGTGCTGCTGCATCCAACGATGCCAGACTCAGAATATCATATATGTGGCAAGGATCACACATCAGTGATTTTTTGGGAGGGTCGTGTAGGATTTTGCTGGCACCACATCAGGTTTCTCTTCCGTCGCCGCACCCTAAACCCCAGGCCTAGTAAACCCTGGGCCGAAAACAGAAGGCTTCCCGGGCCTCGCCAAAACCAAAGTTCTCCATCTGAAGCTTTTCTCCCACTTGGAGCTTACACGTGTCGGTGTGTGGCGGCAAGCTGTGCACATGTAGAGCTGGCCGACGTATAGTGACTATGGTGTTGCTTGTGAGAACACTGTAGCGCCGCGTGAAGACTCGAAACATTCGTACCCCACTTAGTTCGGATGGTGCAAAAAGCCAACACCGTAAGCTGCAAGCCCTAAGCCCGACTGGGTCTTCATGCACATCATGTGCAACTGCTAAGTGCCTAGACCCTCCACCTTGTGCTCAGCTTCACCATCTTCTGTAAACTGTGCTTTGCTGCATGCCACTGCCACTGCGCAAGCCCTACTCTCAGGATGGGCAACGCCCCATCCCCTTGGCCCGTGCATCCCGGGCCACCGCCTGCTGGGTATCCTCCGCCTGGAGCCTGGTGCTTCGAGAAGTTGGGTGGCGGCTTTTATTGAGTACACAGCCTTCATTAGTCAATGCCGTGTAGAAACTGTGGGCACCCCTCAGAAGAGGAACCGCGACGGTCATGTTCAGAAACTTACAGTACATAGAAACTTCAACCCTGAGCTGGTCATGGTCCTTGTTCATTGACCAGGTACCCGAAAGCCTGTCGAAGTGTTTTGAGCCAGAGAATGCTGTTGTTATTGAAGCAAAGCTGCTCATTCGGCTGGGAGTAGATTTTGGACAGGTTTCTCTGCGTTTTGGGCATATCGCATATTCCCACCCTTAGCTGCTGACTTCACCCCTTGTCAGCACCTCCTATTGCAAGGACGAACCTTTATGGCTACTTTTGTGAGTTTCCATCGCATGACAGATACATAAACTGGCCCGAAGCCTCAGAAGCATGTACGCATTGTCATAGTCTCTACACGCCGAATCCCTTTGCATGCATCCCTGAATCACTGAACTCTGAAGCCTAAACCCATCACCCCAAATTCTAAAGATAAGTTTCTAAGCAGCGCAGTCCCAAACCCTGAGCCCGAAGTAACCCCTACGTTCTAAACGCCAGGCCCTGAATTCTAGTACCAGCAGCTGACTTCTTTGGACAGTGAGGGACCCTCGCGTGGAGGTGAACGGGGTCTCCTGGTTTGAAAACCGTTTTTGAAACCTGATAAACTCTGTGAACATCCCAATAAAACCGGTCCGTCCTAACCTCTGAGGCAACCTCGGAGCCTACCCTTGGAGAATCCTTATGGAGCCAAGAGGATCGAAACCCCAACCCCTGCACCCCTTAACCCCTAACCTCCAAGCCCTGAACCCGACACTCTGAACCCCTAACCCCCAAACCCCTGTGGGCCCAAGATAAACCCCTAAACCCCTAAGCCCTAAACTCCTAAGCCCCGAAACCCAAAACCCCTAAACTCCTAAACCTTAGGCAGCCCAAGAGAGAGAGCCATTGAAACCTTGCGAAAGGCCTCGGCCTCCCGAGTCTTGGAGGGGTCCCTACGCGGCAGGGTGCGGTGCTCGACAGGCTTTAGGGGTGGAGGGTTTGGTTCGGGATAGTGGTCTCTACGGTGTTTAGGGATTTGGTGTTTTGGTGTTGGGCTTCGAGGGTTGGGACTTTTGCCAGGATGGGAGATGGCCAACGCCTCTTTCATGCAGGATCTTCCCAGCATGTCTTAAACTCCTGATCGCATATCTCGTCAAGTTCGACCACAAGGTTCGTCCCATCGCGCTTGCCGTTGTCGTTTTGCTTACTGGTGCCCAGCCGCGAACTCCAAGCTCAGGCCACCGCCCTCGCATCCGCCGCCGCAGCCACGCAAAGGCACTCTCATCGCCAGCTGTGGGGGGATCATTTTCGTGAACCGAAACCCCAAAGCGATGTGCCTCAGCAACCTCGGGCATTGGGGATTTCGACATTTGCAGTCTTTGGCTGTGGGCCTTGGCTTCGGCAGGTCAGCGGCTGGAGCGGAACGAGAACGGCGGCGTGAGCATCGTTGTGATGCAGGCTTTCATTCTTACATGGTGAAGCCATTGCAGGGTGTGACCGATACAGTTCCCTGTCTCCGTCGCTCTTACCAGCCATTCCGTCCTCCCTGCCTGCAGAGTGGCCCAGCAAAAGCACCTCCATGTCCAACCAGTCTCTTGCCCTGGTCTCTCTCACTCGTTCTTGCCCTTCTCTAAGCAACGTTTTTAGTGACCTTTTGGGGGTAAAGAAAGAGGCCAACCTGCACAGAAAGGGCAGCTGACCTTTTCCAGGTGCCTCCCGGCGTGAATAAAATGGATGTGCTGAACGAATACTTCGGCCGCTTCGGGCCGGGAGCCTCGGGGGTTTCGGACCTTGTGGTACCGAATTTAGGAGGGGGGTTCAGGGCATTCAAGGTTCGGGCTTGGGGGGGTTTTACGGTATCAGTCGAAGTTTAGCTGTTAGTTCGGATAGGAGTGACCTGTTCTGCTGAGGCCGGTTTCTTCTCTGCAGATCAACCAGGTGCGGCACGAGGCTCCTTGTGTGTTGCTCACCACTGCCGACACTCTGTTCCACAGAAGCTTCATCGGCGCACTGTGTCAGCGGCAAGCCAGCTGCGCCCTGTGACAGAACGGACGTGTTATCGCGGCGCATGGAGAGTTGAAGCTAGATGCTAGAAGGCCTATCAACTCGACTAAAATTCAAGCTGAATGTCTGGCCCAAGGGGATCCCTTTTACCTTCTTCGACTTTGGTCCGGCCGACTTAAGAGCTCCTCCCTGTAGAGTTCACATAGGGTGGAGAGTCTCGAGCTTACAGTTAGGGTTTGAGGTTTGCGGCTTCAGGGTTTGGAGTGGAGGGTTTGGGGTTGGATTGGAGCCAGCTTGAGTCGAGGTTGTGGCTACACTACCTGGTGCATGACAACCACGAACATGCGACGATATCTCGGAGTATCACCCGCGCCTCAAACCTCAACCACAAAAGCCACTGAACTTTGCACCCCAATCCGTTTCATTCCATCATGACTTGATAAAGCTCGCAAAACTGTGAGGCCATCGTGACCTTTAGCCGGATGGAAGATGCGGAGGAGGCAATGTTTCTTTCACCACCGGGAACTCTTCCCCGAAAGTCTGAACCCCCTCGAAACACCAAGGGTGTCGAAGAAATGGTGCTACAAAACTGCCATGAACAATCTCCGCTGTCTGGGATTCGACCTCAATCTCAGTTCAATGCGTTGATACCTCGGGGTTAGATCCGGTACTCAGCGCAGTCTAAAGGTGCGGGTATCGTGGGGATCAGGTCAGGACGCATGAGGTCAGTAGGTATGCAATGTGCGTGGGTGCTGAAGTACGCAGGCATTCAAGCAAGCAAGAACACGGATGAGTGCAACTGTAGGACGAACCTGAGTGTATGTTATGGAAGCTGGCAATTTCCGTAGTAACACGTACGAATATTGCTGTTACCTTTCTTCAAGTACTTTTGTATTGCGACTATTACCAGACTGCCCATAATGATTGGCGTTAGTACTGTCGTAGTCGTAGTCGTAGGCGTCGCCGTCGTCGTTTCGTCGTCGTCGCAGTCGGAGTCGGAGTGGGGGTGCTGGTGCTGGTGCTGGCGGTGGTGCTGCTGCTGGTGCTTGTGGCGGTGGCGGTGGCGGTGGCGGTGGCGGTGGTGGTGGTGGTGGTGGTGCTGGGCAATAATTAGTAGTAGCATCAGTGCACCTGGTATGCTGGCAGCGTTTATCACGAGCACCATGTAGTTTTGTCAAACGTCTCTGTATTACTTTTGATTGCTGTCACTGATATCGGCCATGTCTATGGTAGTGACTCTACAAGTCCTGTGAAGGCCTTGCGGTATCCGGTGCTCAACGACCCAAGCATAGGCGGCAGCTGCTGGAGGGGTTGGGTTCTTCATCCAACTACGATGCTGTCAGAAGTTCCTGGATTAGAGTTCAGAGATCAAAGTGTAGAGGGCCCGCCCGGGGTGCAGCTGCAACGCTCCAGAGCACAGAGCATTTCGGCTTCGAGGCTGCAGATTTTGAAGGTTGAACCCAAGATCTTGAAAGCTCCACCAAAGTCAGCTAAAGCTGCCCGAAACTCCGGGCCCTGTGGTTCGAGATCTGGACATATGATTCCATTATGACTCCGGGCCCTGTGGTTCGAGATCTGGACATATGATTCCATTATGACTCGTGAATAAGTAATGCGAACGTGCAGCATGAGCCCATTAATTCGACATGACCTTTCTGCATACTTTCGCCTTGATGTTCTCTTTGTTTAACCTCTGGAACGTGCCGGCCGTTCACAATTCGTCCCTTGTCATCTGCAAGCCCTGCCCTCGACCCCAAGTCACAACCCTCAGCTCAATGCCATCGTAAACCCTGAACCTTCAACCCCCTCCCCCCCTCCGCAAAGAAACAGACAACGCCCAAACCTTCTCACCCTGATCCTTATGCCCCAACCCCAAACCCCCGACCTTTAAGCCCACATCCTAAACCCGGATCCGAACGCCCAGCCCTGAAACGCAAACCTTAAGCCCTGAGCCCTGAAGGCCCTACTTGGAGGTTCATGGGTAGTTATAAGTAGGGCAACTATACTTGCGACCCATATTCGGGGACTTTTCACCCTGCTTGTAACTACCTCTGAACCTCCAACTAGAGAGTTCAGCCTTGAACCCGAGCTCTCTGGCAAAGGCTTGAGACCGTGGCGGGCGAAGGCTCTAGCCTCAGAGCCGCTTTGTGTGCGGACTTTCCACATAGTAGTCATACAGCTTATGTTTTATGTACATATATCTCGCTTATCATCATTCTTCGTAGTACGATTCCCATTTTGCGCTATGGCAGCAGCAGTAGAAAGTTGCGCTATTGCAGCAGCAGTAGAGCCACAGTGTGTCTAGGATGCCCAATGCAACACTTAGTTGAGGCTCTCTTGACACGAAGAGCCTCGCAGTAATGCTGCCGAGGCCGGTCAGCGGGCTCCGGACGATGTGCCCGCTGAGGCGCGGTAGCATGACTTTGGGCCTAGGGCTTTATTAGGGGTCAAACAAGCACATAGGCATAAGCATTTTTGTGGGATATTGGGATATCCCTATCCTAATTTTTGCTGATGTGCTTTTTTGGGGCCCTACTTTAGGGCTTTGTGATGTTGGAGCTTTCAGGTTTTCAGGAATTGGGGTTGAGGTACGGCCAGAGTGTTGTGCAACGACTGAAGCCGCAACCCCAAAACCCTGAAACCTCGAACGACAAGTCCGCAGGTGTCGCCCACCATAGCGGCTTGGCAGATTCTGTCGGAAGTTTTGTCCACTCTGGAATTTCGGAAGTTCGGTCTGATATCAAGGGATAATCCGATCCAGATCTCCAGAGACGCCCGACGTAGTGCCGGGAAGTCGGGGGCACTTCTGCCAACCCATACTGAGGTAAATACACCCGTTGTGCCCAGTGGCAGCCTCAGACATTGCCTCCACTCAGAAAGGGGCGAAAAGCCCTGAGGAAGGCTGCTGCCTCTGACTCCCTCAGCCTTACCTTTGGTTAGTAGGGAATGGAGGAATGGGGTACACTTAAATTATAACTACTATCACTACCATTCTTCCATTCCCCACTAACCAATGGTAAGCAGCTCGAAGCCCCAGGTATACCCATCATCGCCACTGGCAACATGACCTTGGAGTCGGATCCCGAGGGCATCGCCGAGACTGCCCATGTAGGGCCTTGACCATGCGAAGTGTGGCTAAGTGGTGTTCATATCATGAGGGGTTTGGTGAGGGTATGTGCGCTCCCTGTGAGTTCTGGTAGTTATGTTGGGTTACAATATGTTATGGTGAGAGTACAGTAATAATAAGGACGTGGAAAATGGGGTCATGTAGTAGGAGTAGGCAGTCAGAGGAGTCGCGAGGGGCTTCCGTGTGGTGCTAAACATGCAGTAACCTGGACCACCCGGCGCAACTCCGAAGGCATCACCACCAAAACTGAGATCAACAGCACCTAGCCTTCAAATTCAAAGCGCCGAAGCCCCTCCCAGGTCCGGGTTTAGGCGTTTAGGGTTTAGGGGAAAAGTAAAATACGACGAGACGCGCCTCCCAGGTCCAACCGAGTGTTGGAAGCCAAGCGAAAACGAGAGGAGCTGCAGGCGCCATCCTCGCACAGGGTTTAGGGTTTAGCTTTCTTATAGTACAACTTAATGTAAGCAAGGGCAGCTAAGAAAACCTTCATCCTTGTAGCGTAGCGGCCGGAATGATTAGCTATCATTCACACAAAAACCCTATTATATTGAAATGCAAGAGCAATAATGATTGTTTTCATACCATTGACAATCAGTGTACAAACACTTGTTTCTCTAAATGCAACGAGCACCAACTCTCAGTCCTCCTTTCGGGAGTTTGGGGAGGTTTTCGGAAGAGACTTTCCAGAGTGCGGGCTTGGGGGCTGTGCCCAGCTTTAGCACCGGAATCGCTTGGCCACGGAAAGTTGAAGCATGGATCCGAGCCAAAGACGACTTCATGACGGCTAAACGTGAACCAAAAACATAGTGCTATATTCAAATACCTGCAGGACAAACCATGTGTTTGCCTAAGCTGGTTAAGTATTCAGATGTTGAGCTCTTCGGTGCAGGCTGCATGCTTTGATCCGAGGTTCCGAACAAGCTTTGGTTTCTTCTGGGTGAAGTCTAGTAGTGGGCTTCCGATAGGGATTGACGCTTCATGCACTGGTCCCGCTCAGCTGCGAGGAAGAAGAAGAGGGCCTCAGATTTGAGTGGTTGAAGGGTGTTAAAGGGCCTGGATTCACCACATCCCAAACCTTTGTAGCATCACCGAGAGCACCAACGCCACCATCACCACGCCGACAACAACTACTATTACTGCGACGATCCTTGCAAGCAGGACCCTAGACAGGATAGGCATAGTATTGAGAAACCCCCATCGCGTTTTGTAAACACCCGTGTAAAACCGTTTCGCAAGGATCGCCGGAAGGCTTTGCTGTCGAGCCTCACGGATCAGCTGAAGGCCGTCCTGGCCAGGACACGACCTGCTTTTGTTCATGTGGGCATCGGGTTTTTAGGCTCTTGTACGGAGGTTTTTCTAGTGCCTTTCGGCTGCAGAGATTTCGGTTCAGGGAGGTATTTTAGGGTTCCTGTTCTCTTGAAGCTGGAACCAGCCTGGCCACCAGTAAGCCGCTTTCACCAAACCCAAGTCGCAACAGCCCAAGCACCTCAAACCCCTAAACCATGAAAGAAATCTCAAAATCCGAAGCCCTGGTCCCCGAAGCCCTAAACCATCCTAAACCCCTAAACCCTAAGCTGAAGGGCACACGCCGGCAGGATCAGCGACCCAGCGACCTCGGAGCGAAATAGGGAGCAGCTTCAGGCCTCCTCCAGCCCGTGTTGCTTTGCTCGGCCTTGAATTTGGGGGCCTCAGGCTTTGGAAAGCAGGGCATTTACACTGTACTGGTATGTAAAATGGTAGGGACTTGAAGGACAAAGTGTCACTGATTATTCAGACCTCGATATCAGGGTTTGGGCATGGTTTGGTTTTGGCATTTGGCCTTGGGCCTTGGGAGTTTGGGGGCTTCTGAAGAATCGGAGGCTTAAGAGTGTTGGTGTCCTCAAAGCTATTTGTCTTGTCTAGTTGCCACAGGCAAGGTGTGGACTCTGAGTTTCGGTGGGACAACTCGAAACCCGAAGCTGTTAAGGATCAGACATGCAGGAACTTATTAGGGCCGGCGAGCCGCAGAACTTCACCGGGAGATGAGGGAGGAGCTATCCATCACGGGTCGTGGAAACCTCGCCTGCTCATGAGATCTTGCATGTTGCTTTTTCTGGTTCTTGGGCTTCAGTCTTCCACTCCTTAAGCCCTAAACTCCCAAAGTGCTCTTTGCCAGACCATTTTGGCGAATATCAAAGACAAGATCAATGCGCTAACCCCGCCGCAGAAGGAGCAGGCCGGATCTGGGATGCGTGACATACGGCTGATGCCCGGAACTATGGGAACTATGGTATATCCCTTATTATGGGAATTATGGTATATCCCTTAGTATGGGCCATGCAGGATTTATATCATCAACAGTACCCAGAGAGCCCAATACCCCTCAATTAAGGAATGTACCTTAGATCAAAAGGGGCTTCATACAATGATTTAGGCTAATTATTTTTCTTAATTAACATGGGGGCCTAAATGGGGTTTCCGAAAATGAGGGGTACCTTATTCTGGGTCCCCGTATAATAAGGATCCTACTATTTAGGGTACTATGTTAAGGTCCCCCTATTTGTATGGTCCAGCGAACTCACTCTGGCTCTGAATGAGGAGTTGGCCAAGCGGCGGCTGATGCCTCCAGCGCGGCCCATGGCTCCATACCAGGCAGCGGCTCATGAGGATGACTCAAGCAGAGTGCTTGCATATGGCGACACTTCACAGCCGCTCGCCCGTATCCGCTCTAGTGAAGCACCAAAGACCCCGGTTAAGTCCTGAAGCTCTACATCCAAGACCTGTCCTCTTCTGCAGACGAAGTTGGACAATCGTCCAAGACCCGCCACGCTGCTTTTGTCCAAGCTTCCCGCCGCGCTCTTGGACACTGGCGTGGTAACATTGGGTTTGATGATGCTTCATGATGGTGGTGATGGTGATTGTGATGACGATCAGGGCTATGACGATGATGATGCACATACAAGTAACCTTTTTTTGCAACACAAGTGCCGCAGCAGCTACTTCGAGGACAACGATCGACTATACTTGTCATGATGATTTTTGTGGCTGCCAGCACGATTGCCGATTCCCTTGTCGTTACAGGTTTGTTGGCGCTCGGCGTTGTGGTTGAAGGCTTTAGCACGGTTTGCGGGTTGAAGGCTTGCAGGTTTTTGCTCGTGGGCTACCTTCTGAAGGGGCTGCAGTGGTGATGTCTTCGGATTCGGACTTGAACTTGACGGTGCACGACTGCCAACATGAATCTAGCAGCTTCTGATTGCTAGCACTCATTTGCAGCTCCGACATCCTGCTGAAACCGTACCCGGCATTCCGACATCTCCAAAGCAGCCTCGAAAGCTGAAGCCGCTGAATCCTAAGTTGGAAGATCCCTGGCACGCCCAAAAAGAAGCGGTTTCTTCCCTCAGCCATGTGAAACCAGGCGGAGATGCAAGGTCCCGATGGGGAGGCGGAGGGGCGGGGACCGGGTTGGGACGCTTGGGGCTTCGACCTTCCGAGCAGAATGGGCCCAGAGATTCTCGTACGCTGCTCTCATGACCACGGCCGAACCCCAAAGTGCACCTTGGAGGCTCAGTTGCGAGATGCCCTTGGCGAAAGCGTCGAATGGATCCGGGACTGGTCCGACGATGGATGTCGCTCTCTCAGGGTGTTTTGGGTTGAGCGCCTGAGCGCTCAATGAGTTTTGTTTCGGCTTTCCTTGTACTGGACAACGCAAGAAGTATAGCCATCAGCAGTCGCAGCAGGTCCTTGTGATCCGCTCGATGCACACCCAGACTTGCCTTGCAGCCCGTTCCTTTTGACGGAGCCTCTTATGCCGTAGCCGTCATGTTGAAGATCTGTAGTTTCGCCGCAGACCACTGAAGGTTTGAACTCTTGAGACTCCGGTTTAGGACAGCACCGAGGCCTGAAAAGCACACCGATCGCTCCGTCTGTACTCAGTGCTGAACCTTTGTTTGCAATCTCCAAGCCACCGCTCACCCGCCCCTTGCAATGAGGGTGGCAGTGCCAAAAGTGCCGTAACAGTTCGAAACTGGTGAAAGTTACGAGGCCAGAATTACTGCACAAAGCGTCCTTGCAGTGCTTAAACACTGTTACCAGCAGAGAGACTGACAGCAACAACGAGTACACCAACGATGATGTCGAAACTGTTTCGGATGCTGGCACGTCTACCCGTAGTGCCGTGATCAGCACCGTGTGTTTAAACCCAGCTACTATCCTCAGCCCCAACAGTCATACCCTCAAGCGCCAAACCTCCATCGCCTGAGCCCGAAGCCCATATTTCGCCCACCCAGGCAGCTGCACCGTCCGCTTCCGCGATCGACGGCAAGCCGAGGCTTTTCGGGTTTAGGCTGCTGGACGTAGAGGGTGTTCGAGCTTGAGATTTTTGGCTCAGATCTTGACCATAATATCCTGAAGGGCTCTGAGCTAGAGTTGAGGATGCCGATCATTGGGGTCATTGTCGTCATTACAGCCATCCCGGCCGGCGGTCGTGTGAAGCCCCAGTACCAAGCCAGGCGGCTGTGCAGGGGCAGAAACTCTGGGGCTACGTCGCCAGGATCCAGGACAGCTGGGCTTCGCGGCTTTCAGGGCTCGGCCGAACTCCTCGAGCGTTGAGGGCTGGGGACTAGTGACTAGGAAGCCTTCGTATGGTCTCCAAACCTGGAGGATCGGCCCTTACCCTACAATGTTTCTCGTGGTGCTCAGGAGGAAATGCCGCCACAGGCGCGCTTCATTGAGCTGCCAGGGTTGAATTCTGGAGTATCATGGTTCCATGTCTCACTTCATCTCCAGCTTCATGTCCACAAGGTGTTGCAGCAGGATGATTAAATTGAAGCCCACGGTGGCTTGGTGGAAGATGCATGTGTCCTTGCGAGGCGTAGGAGCTGGAGTCTTGCCATGCCTAGATATCCAATAGTGGATAGCGTTAATATCAAGGACCTGGTCTTTGGGGTTTATCACAGTACATGTGCATTGCTCTAAAGAGGAACAGTGAGGAATAGCCTTCCCCCAAAACCCCGAAATGCGACACCGTACAAGCCGCAGCCTCAATGCTGCTGCAAAGACTCAAACCCTTTGCTTCGAGGCTTAAAATCGAATCTTTCAGGTTTGGGACTTTGGGGATAAGAGTTTGGGCTTGAAGCAGGCTTTCCAAGCTGAGGCTGTGGCCTTGAACTCGAAAGCCCTGAGCTCTGAATCCGAACTCACCAAGACCCTGTGTCCTTCATTCATCGACCCTCCCTAAACTTTGGCCCTAGACCCTGAACGCTTTTTGCCACCTTCCGGCTGCCAGGCTCCTCACCCGTATCGGCGGAAGATGCCGACGCCTAGATTTAATCAGCCGCGGCACATGCACAAGGCGGGCCTTTGCAGCTTTTCACAAGTCTCAAGGCTGCGCCCCCCTCCGAATCGTAAATCGTGGGGTGTCTAAAGCACTTTGGCTCGACGTTCCACTCGAAACACAAACGAGGCCTAAACGCTCGGATACTGGCTGGTTACTGTTTTGGGGGCACAAAGATTGGTAGACTGGTGCAACTCTGAGCCAAAAGCTGCGCTTTAGTGTTGCAACAACAGTAAACTCAGACAGAGACCTTCGGAGGGTTGCGGAGTAAGGCTCCGCTGCAGGTTGCCCGTCACTCGGAACCTTGCGGTCGTAACTGTGAAGTTTGCATGCGACAGGTAGATGCACCTTTGCATTTTCCTACTGCTCTTCCCTTTTGCAGAAGGTAAATAAGGTAATGGGCATATTGGCATATTCATTCGTTTTGGCAGAAGCGTCCCCTTCTTCTGCTCATTATTAAACTGGTTCGAGACGTATGGTCCTCCGACAGCCCAGTCCCGAGACGGACAAGCCATGCAGGTGTATCGGCCTCCTCGCATGGCAATGCTGGCGTGAGTGTTGAAGCAGTGTTTCGGGCTAATTAGGATTTGGGATTCCTGTTAGGGAATACAGGAAGAGCTTGGTTGATGAGATTCCCCGTGTTCGTGCCTCAAAGTTCACGGTGTGAAGCGGGGCGTGCCATCCAACACGCGCAGGTGTATACCCGAACGGTTTAGGGTTTAGGGTTTAGGGTTCACACAGAGTTCAGGCAGACCACTCGCTTTGAACCCGCTCAGACACTCGCTCACCCACTTCTTCACCAACCCACCTAGTTACACAGAAGCACACGTGCACGTGAACAGTTGACATCTGCCAGGCCGAAGACAAAGTGCCTGGCACTCCAGAGACAGAGGAGGGGCGGGGAAGTTTGTCAGAGATGTTGTTAGCCTGATTGTTGGTTCGATAGAAGTGAGGTTGTCACAACTTCCTAGTATCGAATTCGAACGCATGACAAGTCTCAATGTGAGATTGTGGTGCCTATCCGTGTTCAAGAGCGTGGATCAACATCAATGTATGGCCTGGTGGTGTCTGCTCTCTAAACCGTACATAGTGAACAGCTTGTAGCCCCACGCACCGTTAGACTTCAATGAATGCCCAAACCCTACTGTTAGTCTAGAATCTAGAAGGCTATACCCAGAGTGACGAGCAGTGCTTCACAGGCCTTCGACTCTGACATCGAAGACCCAGAGGTCCAGCAATGCCCTGCATCGAGCGTCGGGCTCTAACCAGTCCGAGTGGACGGCATAAAGCGGCAGTTGCTCCAACTATTCATCTAAACTGGTACGATCAATACGAACAGCAGGAGTTGCGGAACGTATACAGGTAGGCATAGGGTTCAGAAGAACTAAACCCGGAAACTTGAATGCTGAAGCCTCAAAACCCCGAAGGCAGCACAACACCCTCCGAGATGAAGTGTACAATGTCGTCCGGGCAATCTTGAAAATCTTCTTGAGATTTTCAGGTCTCGGGTCAGGGTCTCGGGTTTGAGTTGGCGGGAAGAACTCCCAAGTTTCCCGGTCTGTCTGAATCCCAGCATCGCATCTTTCGCGAGGGGTTTTAGGGTTTGGGACTACCAGAGACTGTTTTCACGGCAGAATCCGCAGAACGAAGCATGCTTTCCTTGCGGCGATGTGATATGAAGTCACAACAGTCCCTTGCGAGCTGCATCCTATTTCGTCTCAATTCCCATGTAGCCTTTGTACCGTGCCCTTCCCAACGTTCACGTCCAGTATCACCATAAGACTCCTCGGACCAGTGTTCACTTAGAAGCCCTATTAATCCTGAACCCCGAGGCAAACTTAAAGTTTTCGGTGGCCCGCCACCCTGCCCTGCTGCTTTTCATGGAGGTCCTCGCCTCCATGCGTCCAGACGCGACTCTCCAGGAGGAGCTGTTCCGGGACTTGTAGTCACTGTTGGTAGGGCTTAGGGTCGAGGGTTTATCATCCCTAGGATAGAAGCAGAAGTTGTACACCAAAGCTATGCATGTAAGCTCGACACATTGCTTGACACCGCGCGCTTCTTGCATTGTGTTTCTACGTTTGTTGCATGCATATCTGCTTACCTACAAACCAGAAAGGGGCAACTCAGTATACACCAAGAGAAAGCAGCTCATGTTGAACAAATGTTATACATATGCACATCTGCCAAATCCCTAAACCTGTGCGCCTGGGGTTGTGAGGAGCTAAGAACAGCCATGGGCGTCCCAGAGGTGCCTCGATCGGTTGACCATGGAGAGTAGGAGTAGGATGCACTCTGACGAACATGTACATGAATGCTCGTGCTGGATGTGGCAGTACTAGTAGCAGTAGTTGCATTAGTAGCAGCAGGAGGAGTAGCAGTCGTCGTCGTTGTCGTAGAGCAGTAGTAGCAGCAGTAGTAGTAGTAGTAGTAGTAGTAGTAGGAGTAGTAGTAGGAGTAGTAGTAGTAGAGTAGTAGTAGTAGTAGTAGTAGTAGTAGTAGTAGTAGTAGTAGTAGTAGTAGTAGTAGTAGTAGTAGTAGTAGTAGTAGTAGTAGTAGTAGTAGTAGTAGTAGTAGTAGTAGTAGTAGTAGTAGTAGTAGTAGTAGTAGTAGTAGTAGTAGTAGTAGTAGTAGTAGTAGTAGTAGTAGTAGTAGTAGTAGTAGTAGTAGTAGTAGTAGTAGTAGTAGTAGTAGTAGTAGCAGTAGTAGTAGTAGTAGTAGTAGTAGTAGTAGTAGTAGCAGTAGCAGTAGCAGTAGCAGTAGCAGTAGCAGTAGCAGTAGCAGTAGCAGTACCGGTACCGGTACCAGTACTAGTACCAGTACCAGTACCAGTACCAGTACCAGTAGTAGTAGCAGTAGTAGTAGTAGTAGTAGTAGTAGTCGTAGTAGTCGTAGTAGTAGTAGTAGTAGTAGACGTAGTAGTAGACGTAGTAGTAGTAGTAGTAGTAGTAGTAGTAGTAGTAGTAGTAGTAGTAGCGTAGTAGTAGTAGTAGTAGTAGTAGTAGTAGTAGTAGTAGTAGTAGCAGTAGGAGTAGTAGCAGTAGGAGTAGGAGTAGTAGCAGCAGCAGCAGCAGCAGCAGCAGCAGCAGTAGTAGTAGTAGTAGTAGTAGTAGCAGTCGTCGTAGTAGTAGTCGTAGTAGTAGTAGTAGTAGTCGTAGTAGTAGTAGTAGTAGTAGTAGTAGTAGTAGTAGTAGTAGTAGTAGTAGTAGTAGTAGTAGTAGTAGTAGTAGTAGTAGTAGTAGTAGTAGTAGTAGTAGTAGTAGTAGTAGTAGTAGTAGTAGTAGTAGTAGTAGTAGTAGTACTCGTCGACTTCGTGGTAGTCGTAGTCGTCGTCGTCGTCGTGGTAGTCGTAGAGGTAATGGAGCAGGAGCAGGAGCACCGGCACCAGCACCAGCAGCAGCAGCAGCAGCCAGCAGCCAGCAGCAGTAGCAGTAGCAGTCGCAGTGGGGGCAGCAGGAGGTAGTCCGACAAGCAGTGGTTTCTGCGGTTGCTGACATTATCCAGTGCAAGTTGCAGGGCAGAATGTGTGGTCGGGAACATGCCCAGCTGGTGGTCATGCAGCACGCACCACAACTTGCTGTACAACCACGGTTTTCCCTTTTCCTTCACGCTTAAAACCCCCAAGTCACACTTGAAGCATGGGCCCTTTGCTCCAAGACGAGGAAAATCTATCGGGGATGGCCAGTGGCATGTCAAATGGGGAAGATTAGCGGATTAGCTCTTGAGATGTTAGTCATGTGCAACCCCTGCTTGACTGCCATCAGCAGCGACTGCGATATTGACCAGACATTGCGGTGCCTTCAGTTCATGGACACTGCCAGTCTGATCCTCACCAAGTGTTGGAAATAACCAAGCAGAAGTTGGTGCACTGCTTCCTGTCAAATTTTGGTCAGAAGGTCTTGGCGCGAATGCCGGCATTGAAGATGTCTTCGTTGTGTCCGCTTTCCACGTCCTGACTGAATTGCGACCCATTAGAATTTCAGAAGGAAATGAAAGGTGTGAATGCCGCCATGGTGGCTCGGTATGGCGGCAGCAGACTTCTTCAACTCTGCCGGGCGGCTCTCTCGGCATCAAGATGGACGCCAGTGGATAGCAACGGGAGGGCCAGATAGACATTTTCAATGAGCCCCAAGAAGAGAATACCAGAGCGCTGTACTGAATCAAGCAAGAAGATGAAGAGCGACCGAGGAAGACCTGGATTGAAAAGACAATCATGCCAAGACACGTGCGGCAGCTGGCTGATATGATTGCACAAGCCTGGAAGATGCTGACAAAGCCGGAGCATCCCATGGTGCTGACGCATGGTATTGGATGAGATGTATCATGTACCCGACATCCGCGACACGATGGGCGAGGTCATGAACTTTTAGCTGGATTCAGCCGTAAACCCAAAGCCTTGGCTGTTGAGGTGCAGCTTCGTGCTGCCATTTCAGACGTCAACATTCCTGTGGACAGACCAAGCTCAACGGAAAGCACGCAGTGAGAATGCTGAGACTCATCATATACAAGCATGGTTACTCTCTATACTATCAGGTTGTCAATTACTGCGCATGTGCTCTGCACATGCTTGGGCATATGAAATATCTGTTAGTACCTACCATCATCAACATCTGGTGGGTAATCCTGTGGCGTCTGGAGATGCAGATCGTGCAATCGGCCGCGGTTGTTCGGTGATTTTAGTGGCGGTGGCATCTTCTTTGTGTGTCCCCTTTTGCATCACTCCGCAGCTTGTGTTTGAATTGATGTTTTGAGGATTGTCGTTTACCCATGTTTACCCCCAGCAGCACTCTTTGCAAACGCAGGCTGATGATGCATTGGCCGCGGTGGCCAGCGATGCAGCCCCCGCGGAGGTGCACGGGTGGATGGCGCGGATGAGACGTTGACCCGTGCCAATTCCAGAAACCCCATGTCGCTTTGGAACCCTAGAAGACAGCCCAGAGGTAAACTGCAGTCTAAACCCCTGACGCTGAGCCCCAAACGCTAAACCGCTAAACCCTGGGCCAAGAACACTCTTGAGTCTCCACCCGAAATACTAAACTCTGCAAGCCTGATGCGAGGCGGCCGAGGAAGTGGCCCCGCTAGCTGCAGAAACCACGGCGCCGAGCGAGGTGGGAGGGCGAGCAAACTGCGGTTGTTCAAGACTTCTTGGAGGCTGTAGTTATAAGTGGGGTTAGAAGTCCCCTAATATGGGTTATAAGTCCCCTCATAAATAATATGGGTTACAAGATGTTATAAGCATACTTACCCTACTTATATCCCAAGTGGTTTTGGAGCTCCGGGGCCACAGCAGCGGAAGGCTAAGCCGGCGGGATAAGGTTGTCAGTTGAGGAGTCTTCCGACTCGAAGTTTTAGCTTTCGTTACGGTTGATGATATAAATCCTGCATTACCCATAATAAGGACTGTACCATAATTCCCATACTTTAGGGTCCTTAAGGTAATGCAGGGTAGTAGAGGGTTGAGTTAAGAGCTTGGATGTGTTCTGACCGCAGAGCCCCAGAGCCGCGACGATGTCTCTCCTCCTGTTGTTTCTTGTTATTTGGCGTTGCACAATGTGGTGTGGTCATATTCGTGAGGCCAGTTGTTGAAAGTCTGACTGACACATTCGAAACCCAAACCCTACCCTACATGCCAAACTCTGTCCCCAGCTCTAGCCGCCTCTAGCCCTAACACCTCAACTCGCGAGCCGTCAAGACCAAGGTGCAAGAGCCACCGGCGGCGGATGAGGGAGCTGCTGCCTGGAGCTGAGGTTTTGCGTTGCAGGGATGCAGGAATGAGGAAGGTTCCGGGCCCCAGGATTCGTAGGGTTGTCGTTGAGTTGAAAGTCAGAGTGAGGGTTCGAGCTTTTTCGGGTCAATCAGTTCCTCTTGCCATACCTGTCGCAGACAAGTGCCAAAAACTGTGCTCGAAGCAGTTTGACTGTCGAAACCTCCTTGAGGCCGCGGATGCGGCGCCGGCGGAGGAGCCATTTGCAGGTCTTGAAAGTAGAGGGGTCCCCTTCTTTAGGGATCACAGCGCTACAGGTCCGACTATGTAGGGCAGGGTCTTTAGAAGGTCTGGTGCCATGGATCCCCCTCTGCAACCTGACTATGCCACAGCTCGCTCTCTCTGCGAAAACTTCAGCTGCGACGTTCATGAGTTTCGGTTCTCAGTTCCGAAGTCTGAACTGCCAAACTTGCTGGGCTGCAGATCTCAACTCTTCGTAGTATGAATGTTGGTGGAGTCATCGGTGCTTCTGATGTGATGAACTTTGATGAATATTTCCGTGAGTATCCTTCTGCTCTCCTTGTACTCATGGCCATTGAGAGCGTTTGTGGACAAACCCCCCCGTGCACCGATTGCCCACCACCCCGATAGCCCCAAGACGGAGCAGAGTCGAGACGGAGCAGAGTCGAAGCCATTGCCCAAGCTTGAAGCTAATCTAGCTCCCGAAACCCCGAATCTTGAACCTCCACACCCCAAACCCTCAAACCCATCAAACCCGACACCGCAACGATATTATATCCGTACTGTCTGTGGGAAGGAGACCCCGCCAGCAGCGGCCGAAGGCCTCGAGGTGCGGTGTGTGGCTTCTCGAGGTTTAGGCTTTACGGAAATTTCGGGGTTCAAAGTTTTGTTCAGGGGTTTGGGGTTTGAGGTTCAGGGTTAAGCTTAGCCGGCATAGGTTTCTGGGCTTTGAGCCTGTGGCGTGGTTTCGGTGGATGCGGACTGCAGCCTTTGAGTGTGCGCGGTCGCTTACTGCTACTGGCAGTAGCACCATTCCAACCAGTCATTGGTACATAGCCATGATAGAAAGACCACTCGTAACAGCTCTAGCAACGACGGCAGCGGCGGCAACAGCAGCAAGTGTAGCACAATTGTGTTACTATAGGGGCCTCAAGACTTACCTTTACTATTTTGGGGCTCCTTATAATTTTCGTTGTAGTTTACCCCAAACCCTATTCTAATTCTTAAGGCCCCTAGAGTACTGGGCTTGGTACTTCCTCGCTCTGAGCCTGAGGTCCCAGCTGCGGAAGAGCCTCCGGCGGATCCCGCCGCCCCAGCAGAGGCTGCACGAAACACCGTTATTTTCTTATTTTTGTTCATATAAAACCCAAGAGAATATTAATCATATTATTGCTGTGCTGGTTTTATGGGGGTACAGGGTGAAGGCTGTTCCTAGGCAACGTTCCTACTGTCGGGGCTAGTGTCCAGGCTCCGCGATACATGACTTCCGGCACTTCAGTGTCCACTGCTTTAGGGTTGAGGAATGAGAGTGCTTGGAAAGTGCGAGGCGGCCGCGGACCCGCCGCCGACGAGCGACGCAGAGCAAAAGACGGCAGAGGCACCTTAGGCTTCATGCAGACGGTTGCTGACTGGTAGGCTTTCTTGTGCATTCTCTCGAGCAGTCGAAATCCTACGTTCCGACGAAAGAGAGGCAGCATTTTCAAGTTATGTACAGTGGGCCACAGCACGAGGAAATCGGCTCTGGAAGACCTCTGCCTCTTCTGAAGCAGGGTCTACCACTCGTGGATCTTCTGGGTTCCTAAGTGGCACCCTTTTGCCCATTTCATTTTCGGGTTCCCTGATTTTAATGGGGCTACTCAGGAACCTAGTCTTCTTTCGTGAAAATCACAAGACTTGCTCTCGCTCGTCGTGCAGGCGCCTGTGCCGGCCGCCGAGGTCGGCGAAGCAGTACGATGCCCAGTTCCGCTGTATGTGACACCATTATTATCATTATCATTATGATGATTATTATTCTTATTATTATAATAATTATTATTATCATTATTATTATTCTTATTATTATTTCTATATTTTACCATATATAATTATGTTTTACTGTTATAGATTATTATAGCGAGGTGAGCACTAAGCCTCCATATTGCGATATCATCTCCCCTGCCAACATACATCTGCAGCGGGTTTGCTCATGCTGCTTCCGAATGCTGTTCCGTTGGGGCTGAAGTCGCGACACAACGATTTAGCAGACGCCAGGATTTCGGACAAAACGCTGGCCACAATGCAGCACTGTACCAAAGCTTGCAGCATTTTCTCAGGACGCAGAGCAATCCAACTGCTTCGGCCGTCCATCCCACTCAAGCATACTTAGAGCCTCTATAGAACCCTTAAAGGACCCTGATAAGTAGATGCCTACGCACCTGAATGAATGACACCAAACGCCAAACCCAGGCAGCGCCGGCTGAAGGGGCCAGAGAAGTGCCCTGATGTGCTTGCGATTGGAGAGACCTCAAGTTGCTGGTGTAGGAATCCACCAGCTGAAGGAGTCAGGTTCTGGGGTATTGGGGGCTCCTAATCACTTACCTTTTGTTAGTACGTAGGGAATGGAGGACTGGGGTACAATTAGAACTACTATCACTACCATTCTTCCATTCCCTACTAACCAAAGGTAGGAACACGGTTTCTGGCCGCTTGGCATCGCCGTCGTATGAGCACGTCTTCGTTTCAGAAAAATTGCGTTGGCAAGTAACGTCTGTAGCCTAAGACCCTGAGCAAACGCTAAACACGGCCATAAGCCCTCGGTTCAGCCAAAATCCTCAACCCTTACCTTTGGTTAGTAGGGGATGGAGGCATGGGGTATAATGATAACTACTGTTGCTATTACTACCGTTCTTCCATTCCCTACTAAGCAAAGGTGAGAAAATCCTCAACCGTCAGCAGCAGAGCATTGGAGAACTCGAGATCTCTCTTCGCTCGGCTTCAGCGCTCGGGTCGGACTTCACTCGCTGCCGTGTCGGTTTGTTGTAGGTGCATGCTGTTTTGTTTCCGTTGTCAAGAGGACTACAGACTCTGTCTCATGGGCTTAAGGTGTTGAGATTTGTTGCTCAGAAGAATTTTCAGCTGTTCAAGGCAGAAAAGTGAAGTTGCCTCGGGCATGTGGCTGCCATGACTGGCCCATCAAGCGCCGATCGTTTGGCACTCACGCGTTTCAGAAGCGGCGAGAAGCGGCGTGTACAAAGACGTGGTTGTTGTGTGGCTGCGGGTGCTGCGCAGCGTGAGCCTGATGTGAAAAAGGACCGTGCTGACGGCTTTCTTGCCTGACTGAGACTGGCCCGGACCTGGCATCCCAAGACACTAAACTGTGATTCGCTCCCGATGGGCACGTTTTCCCAACCTGCATGTCTCACGCAGCATTTTGCTCTCGGCCGTCCCAAGTCTGCATCCCAGCGTCGCATCTGCTGCGGGGGGCTCAGGGTTTGAGACTACCAGAGACTGTTTTAACGGCAGAAGCTGCAGAACGAAGCATGCTTTCCTTGTGGCGATGTGATATGAAGTGACAACAGTCCCTTGCGCGCTGCACCCTATTTCGTCCCAATACCGTAGCCTTTGTACCGTGCCCTTCCCAAGTTTCACGTCATGGAGGTTTTCTCGCCACCATGCGCGCGACTCGTCAGGCGGAGCTGTTCCGGGGGGCTTTAGTCACTCTTGCATAGGGCTTATGTAGGGCCGAGGGCTTATCATCAATAGGATAGAAGCAGAAGTTGCACACACAGGTTATGCAGGTAAGCTCGAAACATTACTTGGCACCGCACGCTTCTAGCATTGTGTTTCTACGTTTGTTGCATGCATATGGGTTATAAGTATAGTTACCCTAATATGGGTTATAAGTATAGTTACCCTACTTCTATCTTGGAGCTCCGGGGTCACGGCAGCGGAAGGCTAATCCGGCGGGATGAGGTTGTCAGTTGAGGAGTCTTCCGACTCGAAGTTCTAGCTTTCGTCAACAGCGTCCGAACCTGACCGCCGAGTATCCACCACTTCCGTGACCATCGTGCTTGAGCTTGCAGGACGAATCCCTGGGCCTGGACCGAGCAGAAGAGCGACTGAGCCGAATTGAGCTGGACGGGCTTGAAATGCAGGATCTCCCAGATCTTCCAGACAGCCGGGTTGAGCCTTCGCGGATATGCTTCAACATGACGAACAGCAATTTCTTGGAACGCAACCTTCCAGCCGAAGAAAGCCGGGCCCATCTGGAGGCCCCAAACCCTTTAAACGAGAGTAAGTATACTTGGGGCGTTGACGCTACCAACGTCTCCGTATCGGTGCAGTGTTTCGCAAACGCGCGTTAAAACCTAAATTGGGTGTGACTTGGCTTGGCTTGGTGACAAGATGTGACCGAGCAGTGGCGACTTCTTTCATTCCTGCCTTCCTCCTTTGGTTTTGTTCTTCATTCATTTCTGCCTTGCCTTCCTCTTGCGCCCCGTTGTGGTCGTAGTCGTGGTACTGGTAGTGGCAGTGGTAGCAGCAGTAGCCGTCGTCAGTGGTACTTGTAAGGAGAAAACGGCGCTCGGGGACCGGATGCCACCGGCACTGCTAACTCTACAACTCCGAGCACCGGGGAAAGAACACAAAACTTGTGAAAGTCCTAGGGCTCCGACCCGGCCTCAAATCATAAGTTCCCCGGCACACGAGATAAGAACAAAGGGGGAAGCGGGGTGGGTGGGGGGCCTTTTGTGCGGAAGGGTTTCTGCACTGCAGCAAGCTATAGTGGTTGGGCGGATTTATTCCTTGCAGCCGAAGGCATTGTACTTTGAAAAATTGAAAAGAGGTGGGGAGGGGGGCGGGTGACGGGAAAACGAAGAAGGCACTGTTGAGTGGGCACTGCAATGCACCCCTGCAGCCCAAGGGCTTCCCGAGTGTCTCCCTCAAGGGGTCGGCGCCCAAAGATTCTGCACAACCTGCAGAATTCCCTGAGGTCCTTAATTTGAATCCGATGTCGTTTAAGCCTTTAAACAAGAACCCCAATAGAAGCTCTCCTTCGGCTCCTTCGGGCTTTGGATCAAAGCATTGAAGCTGAATTCCAAGCATGTTTATGTTGTTTCTCGCCATCACTAAACCACCCAGAGGCTGTGGGGTTCCACCCGAAGCTCTAAACTCTGTAGGCGTTCGGGTCGTGTGTGTTGCTGGGGTGTGATGGAGCTTTGGCCTTTGGCAAGGCTTGCAGAGTCCTGGCCCCGCGGCTTCAAGACAGCGGGGGCAGGGTGGGTGGGTGTGGGACGGTCTTCGCGCTTAGGGATTCTCGACATTGCGGTTTGGGGGTGGCATGCGCAAGGAAGAGCCTCTCTACATAGTCCCTGATTAGGATCCCATATAGCCGATAGAAACCTGGTCATGCAGAGCCCTCTGTACAAGCGACAGCCTCGCGAAGCTGTCTCCCGTTTACTCTAAGCGGTTCAAGGTTTAGGGTCGGGGGGCGGCTTTTTGGGTTACGGTACAGGGTTTAAGGTTCGTGAATTTGGACCACTAGGCTGGCCGGTTGAAGGCACTTGGCAGGCTTTGCTAATCCTGGGATTGCTTGTCCTGATGGAAACAACATGAAACAACTGTTGAACTTTCCAGTGTATTAACTTTAATATTGTGGAGTACGCACTGTAACATACACCAGTACACGGTAATGTAGTACAGTACGCGCCACTACAGGAATGTGTGTTGGGCTTGCAGCTGACAGGCCATGTGGGCTAGTAAAACACACCACACTCGCTTCCGTGTGCTGTAGTATACCGTGCTATCCCCAAGTGTACCATCGGACATTGGCTTATCATAGTCATAGTACGCTCTGGTTTCCTACTGGTGTTTTTGTGAGCCCCTGACTAAATTACTGGGCTCAGGGGTGCCTCAATATCCTTTGGAGAGCTCAGGCTGGAGAGACGCTCCGTGAAGACGCAAGCATCCTGACAGATAAAGAGGAGGTTGGCCTGGTGATTGAAGCGGGGTTGCCAGGCAATTAGTGCAAGGATTGAGTTTCAGGGTGTCACGTAGTTGTGCTATAGTAGAATCGATAGGTTGTAACTTTTCTATGATCTTATTGGGTCGATTCAAACAACAATCAATTTAAAAGCTATTACTCGATGTCGATACGCTCAAGACTTATCATTAACTTACGACTGAATACATCACCCTCTCAGCTTTTTCGCTCTATCGGAAGAAGCAGTTAGTAACAGTTAGTAGAATGCTTATCGCAGATCCAAAGCAGCCTCAGCCCAAAGCCCAATGCCTATGAACCCTAACCTCTCCCCAAGCCCCACTGCACAACCCTTCCGCACCCCGAGGCCAAGCATCGCCATCGAGCTCTGACGGTAAGCTTTGCAGCAGCTTTAGGGGGCGAGAGAGATCTTTGGAGATTGAGGTTCTGATTTTTCAAGTGGTTACAGGCTTCAACCTTGGAGTTGGTGCAGTCGTGTGCTGCTACGGGTAGTAGTGCAACGGGCATAAGTGCGTAGCGATGATAGAGACGGCGAAAAGCTGTAGCAACGACGGCAGCGGCAGCAACAGCGGCAACAGCAGCAGCATCCAAGATGACAGCAAGAGCATCCACAATACTTCGAGCACGATGTAGCGCCAGAAACCGCAATTGTGTTACTATAGGGGCCTTAACACTTACCTATACTTTGTTGGGGCTCCTTATTCTAATTTTCGTTATAATATACCCCAAAACCCTACTCGAATTCTTAAAGCCTACTTCCTGGCTCTGGGCCTGAGGCCTCAGCTGCGGGGCCGCACGAAACACCGCTGGGTGAAAACTATTGCTAAGTTCCTTCCGTCAGGGCTAAATTGTGTCCAGGATCCGCGACACATGACTTCGGGCACTTCAGTTTCCATCCTCTTTTCTTTAGGGTAGTGAGTGTGCTTGGAAAGTGCGAGGCGGCCGCGGACCCGCCGCCGACGAGCGAGGCAGAGCCAAGCACGGCAGAGGCACCCTGTGCTGGCGACATTTCGGGAGGGGCAGGATCAACATCTTACGTTAGTTTTGCAGTTGAGATTTCTTTAAGCCAGTGAGCTTCAGACAGGCAGTTGCTGACTGGAATGCTTTCTTGTGCATTTTCCCGAGCAGTCGAAATCCTACATTCCGACGAAAGCGATGCAGTGTCAAGTAGCCGCAATTGTGTTACTGGGCTTGGTACTTCCCACCCCCTAGGGGTGGATCCTTTGCAGTCCAAAGTTATACGGAATCTGTGTTTAGTCAGAACCCTGAACCAGGAGACTGCCGCATAAGTCGTGGCATTGATGCTCGTGGGGACGTCGCAGTTCGGCGTAACAGTTAATGCTGTTAGTGTTAGTGCTTCTGCAAATGCTTGTAAAGTTGTAAAGCAACTTGACAACCGGCAGCGAAATGAACCGGCAAAGCCTGCCAAGATTCTCCCAATAAAACTTCAACGATCATGCGAGACCCTGCAACTCCTGTGCGAAAAGTAGATCACAGAAACCAAGTTCCAGATTCACCCTTAAAGGCACCGGAGTTTCCGAGTGTTCCTCTTGGCATGCTTTGTCGCAGAGAAAGAAGTGCTAAACCCCGCACTTGAAGCAGTTGGACTCTCAGAACTTCCCCAGGCCTCAGACTGGCATGGAGCAGTCACTGTCGCCCGTCACCAAGATGCGAAGACTCATTGTGGCCACAACCCTAAAACGCGGAAGTTTGTTGTCATTACGAGACTTCTTGTCAAAACTACTTGTGTCCATAACCAGGATCGCTGCACTCACGCACGGCGAGGTAGCTACATTCCCCACAGGTAGGTCCACTTGTCCGCCAGGGCGGCAACAGCCACTGCCACGTTCGTAGTTTTGGGGACAGGAGCAGCAAATAAATGGTATGGTTCAGGGGTCCGGGGCTCGTAGACTTATGTATCACATCCTAACCAACATAACATAATCATTGTTATTACTAAAATATATTCTCTAGCTGTTGTTATTTTCTATTGTTGTTGCTAGCACTGCTACTACGACCGCAAGGCTCTGAGGTTTCACACAGGGGCCTGCATAACTAGAATAAGGTTGCTTGAAAGGCTTACGAAAAGCTTACTTTACATGAGGGTTTAGTATATGGGCCTTCATGATTTTAACGAGGCTTTGAAGCATTGTAATCCTTTCCCATCTTAACATTGGATTGCTTTTGTTGTGAATGCTGTTATGCTCATGATTATGATGGTTATTGTTATGAAAATTCCCATTGTAATTGTTGTTGTTATTACCAGTGTGTAACTACTGCTGTTGCTATTCTTGTTAAGATTTTTGAATAGATCGGCTCCGTAGGGATATCACAACCATTTTCTGACCTCTAGCTTGAGGTGTTTGGCATGGGGGAGCAGGCACTACGAGAGGTCTTGGGCGTCAGCTAGAACATGTTAAAAGCTAACACAAAGACCAACTCAGTCCAAACCCCAAACTCGGAACCCTGAGCCCCGCATGTTTGTGTGGCGATGAGGAAGCAGAGGCCTGTTGGAGGTTTCGGCTAACCTTTTCCCCCTAATACTAGACGGGGGCTTGGCCACCCCCAATAAACACGCGGAAAGTGTTTGTATTGCTACAGGGGGGTAGTGTTATCTCTACTGTCTGTCACGTTTGAGGGATCTTGCTCCTGCGCTGGCTTTTGCTCGTGCTCCTGCTGCGTCTCTTGCTCTTGCTCCTGCTCTTCCTTCTGCTTTTGCTCTTGCTCTTACCCTCCGGACCCCCTTAATGCTACGGAGGGATGATTTCGGGAGGATTGACCCCAAAATGTTTTTATAACTAGGGGGGTGTTTAATACAGGGGGGAAGCGATTTCACCACTTCAAAGCCTTATTCTAATCATGAAGCCCCCTATCTAAACCCGTACAGTATGGCCCATATAGCAACCCGCTTTTTTCGGAATCCTCACAGGAACCCTATTCTAGCTATGTTTGCTCCTGTGTGAGACCTTAGAGCTTCCCGTACCAAGCCCAGGATTCGAACTCTCCATGGCTCCAGGCCGGATGCTTCTCAAAGCATCGTAATCTAGGAGGTTTAATAGTTAGACTAGTGACTGGGGTTTTGAATTATCGGAATTTCATATCTATGGCAGTCTGAATAACTGGCAGTATATTTTGTCTGGCACTTTGTTTATTTGTTGTCGCAATTGCTGTCGTGCTTCAAAGCCAATTGCAGAGGCCCCTATCAGGTAGAGGTATAGATGCAAGGATTTCAATCAGTTTGCTGGCATGCAGGTTGATTATCCAGCCGTCAGCAAGTTTTGTATGTAAAAAAGCCAGTTACAATAAGGCCTCGATGAGGTCGAGGTATACATGCAAAGATGCCCAGGGATTCGGAGGTGATCTTGAATCTTGAATGCTCCGAACCACGTGCTGCTTGCTTGGTTGCTGAACTATGGACCAGACCATCAACATTTACAGGTGAGATTATGACACTGTAGCATGCGTGTTCAGAGGTCACAGGATTTGGGTTTCTTCAGGGTTTGATGCGGATGTATACGGCAAAGAGCAGGTTGAGGTACCATCGTCTCCAGGCCTGGGCTTGGCTTTATGGTCATTTTTTGAAGAGGGTTTGGGCTGCAGGCCTTCGGCCCTGAAACCCCAATACTGGGGCGTGGGGCTGTCGGGAATATGTACGGTTGAGCTTTGAGCGCTACCTGAAGTTGGGCCTTTAGGGGCTAGTCAGGGCGGCGTTGGTATCGTAGTAGGTACCCGGTACCGCACATTCGCCTACCTCACATCTCCTACCCTGCCCTATTACTCCATGCCCCGCCCTCTAACTTCAGTGGCATCCGATGTGGCGCAGGAAACAAGGCGAGCCAAATTTGCACAGGCCCCAAGACGTACCATTTGCAATTTCGGGGTCTAGGCTGTCAGGTATTGGGTTGAAGGCTCAGGGTAGCAAGCGTGGTCGGCATTCCGATGCCTCGCAGGCCCTACAAGCACCCGCGTGATTCTCTTAAGCACACCTCAACATTCACAGCAAGATCTTGGTCGCTTATAAGTAATCCTTGTACCCATTGATCAGGTTAATATAGTGTGCATTCACTCCATTTGTTCCTTCCCTTACATTCATCCAGTTAGTTTCAACAAGGCGAAATAGGAACAAAGGACCCTTTGTCAAGATACGAATGCCATGCCTAAGTTGAAGCTGTTTGAGGCAGTGCGACGGAGGCGCAGGTGCGTTCGGCCTTCCGCAACAAGGCGGGAGCTCTGTGCAGCACATCCCCAATCGCCCATTCTGGCCTGGAACTTCCAAGGCGCTGCACTGGCATCCGGACAAAAACAGCGCACCTCACACCGCGGAAAAGTTCCACAACGCAAACGAGGCCAGCGCAGTTTTCTCTGAACCTCAACCGGCAACCCCACAGCCCAAATCCACAACTGAAGTGTCCCAAACCTGGTCCACATGTGAAGTGTCGCATGTGGTTCCGCGAGCAGAACCCTGTGAGGCATACGAGCTCCTCGTCCAGGATGCCCACAAAAAACGGTGCGACGCCTACCTGGAGAGCGTTGGTAGTAGGCCTTGTTACTCTTCCTTACGGCCAGATTGACATGCTGCAATCCACGTGAAATTTTTATTGGTTGGAGTTTCTGGAGCTGGCTGAGATGAGATTAAGCATGTGCACGTACACTGTTCTTCGTAGATGAGTCGCCGCTGATGTTGTAGAACTAAGCACTTGTTCGGCGAACTTGTTGTTGCTTATGTCGCAAAACACATGTCTTTCCGGAGGACTCGGATGCTTGGGATGGTTGAGGCGGAGAGCGAGCAGGGAGAACAGAGAGAGAGCGGAGAGCGAGACAGAGGGCGAGATCGATCGATGGGATGTGTTGCGGCCCCGCCTCTCGCACCCTCCCCGGCTGTCGGATTGCTTTCTGTGAACGGGAAACCCCCTTCATCTTGTTCTTCCATGTTGGGCCGGGGCGCATTTTCGGGAGGGGTGGTGTCCCTACCGTATCTATTGTTTAACTCTGCAGTGCTTAGCGCGAGTCAATAGCCGAGTCATGGGAATGTATGACATTAAAGCACTGTGATGGCGACTTTGTGTTTGCCTATGTGAGTTACGTCACATCTTCCACTAAGGCGCGCGCGAGGAAAACGCAGCGGCAACGAGGCAAATGCTGGGCTTGGGCTGGTGGTCTTGGGCAGCGGCACGTTAGCTGAAGTAGCGACTTTGTTCCCTTCGTCGTGGCGCACCTTGATTCACATTCCTCCATTCTTTAAAGGCAAACTCCCCAACAGCCTCCGAACCCGCCGACACTCAGCGCCCACACCTTCCAGCCTTCCAGCCAGGAAAATAAGCAAAAATGCCGGGACAAAGCCGCGAAGAAGGCCAAAAAGAAGGCCGCGGCCGGGGTGTTTGAGTCTTGGAACGAACACTAAACTCCGAAGGCAGCGCCCCAAAGCCGTAACCAAAATCCCCAGGCTGAAAGAAGTTGCTCAACCAAAAACCCCAGGCTGACTGCACGTGTTAGGATTCTGAACTCCACATGCTAGCACCTGTTAAACACTCTTGGGTATATATACGGTTTAGTTAGTTGTCATTGTTAAGTCGCGAGGTTCTGCCGTTGGTACCTGAAATAATTTGACGGGGATGCTGCCGGGTGTTTTTTCCGGGCTTAGGGTCTAGGGATTCCTCCATCGTCCTCGCCGCCATCGTCACCATCAGCATCTTTATCATCATCATCATCATCGTCATCATCACCGTCATCAGCAGCAGCATATACTCTAGAATACTACAGGGTTACAGCCAATAGACTAGAGAACCCCACGCCCGAACAAAAACTTAAGCTCTTACGGCCCTAAATCGAGAGCGAGCGTAACGATCATTTGACTGATCATCGGTTATTTTCCTCAGATTACCTGCATTGTGAGCAGTAGAAGTTACCGGGCTGACGTGGCCAGGCAGCGCCGGGACTTCGACTTTGGTCCGTGGCACAGCAAGGAAGTAAGCCTCGCGATCCGTCGACGCCCCCTAGCAAGCGAATTTCTGTTGCGAGCGAGGACAAAAAATCGAGCCGATCATAACCTCTGAAGAGAGAAAGAAATTCTGCGGATTCCGATATGAGTTCATTTTTTATATATTTGTTCATCGTAGATTATATCGGTATTATTATATCGATATATCAGATTCCTTATCGAAGATGGTTGATTTGAGAGAAACTTGCAATGACTGCCATAATGATCACGGCGATTAGGACGACGACTCTGCGATACGGCCGAACCCCAAAATGCAGCTTTGGAGGCTCAATTGGCAGATGTATGTCGTTGACGAACGAGTCGGACTAGATTCGGGACTGGTCCGACAATGGATATCGCTCTCTTAGGGTAATGCTGGTTGAGCACCGGAAAGTTCAGCGAGTTTGGGGCTTTCGACTATCTTTATATTGGATAATTCAAAATGTATAGCCATCAAAAGTTATAGGTGCAACAGGTCTTTATGATCTGCTCGATATGAATCTAGATTTTCCTTGCAATCCGTTCTTTTGAACGCAGTCTATTGAATGATTTATACTTTCGCCCTAGATATCGAGATCTAATTTCTAAGCTACCGTCGCCTTGGCTCGACTTATCTTTTCTACAAAGAAATCAAAGAAGCCATGCATACTAGGTAAATATTGGGTATAGGGGGTTATACGACCCAACCACGAGAACTTAGTCCAATCGCGGTGTGCCATGAGGTTTCCGGCAATCCTGCTGTAACGGTATCATGTAGCAAACATATGTTAGAAGATAGGAAACGCTAAGGCCTAGCAATATGTCTTATGTGATTAAATTCATTATCATGATGCAATTGCTAAATACCCTCGACCTTTTAAAACCTTAGACACTTTATTCCTAAGACTTGATAAACCTTCTGAAACTTTTTGAAACCGCATACAAACCTGGAGAGACTTTGGTAACCAAGTCCGGAAATTGTTTGGCCAAGCCGGCACATTTGGGCTAATACTGGGCCGGGATACTCGAGGATATAGTAGGGGTATAGTTAGGCATCAGTATTTATAAAAGAAGAATACCCCTCTCTAGAAAACAAATTGGGCCATGCTAAGTCGATACAGCTCTTTTAAAATCCTAGAAACCTTATTCCTAAACCTTCTGAAACCTTTTGAAACCGCATACAAACCTGGAGAATCTTTGGCAACTAAGTCCGGAAATTATTTGGGGTTTGGCCAAGCCGGCACATTTGGGCCAATACCGGGCCGGGACACCCGAGGGTATAGTAGGGGTAGAGTTAGGCATCAGTATTTATATAAGAGGAATAGAAAACAAATTGGGCCATGCCAAGTCGATGCTTGCTCGGGAGATCGAACTTGTTTCATGACCCGCTTTTGCCGCTGTGCCATGGGGGAAGCATCTTCGGAGTTGTGAAAATTGTTACTTCAAAGAGCCTCTGGTGTGGTGTAGGCAAGGCACCGGCTACGCCGTGTTCGATCTGTGTTTTTCGGTTGTATGGTTGTGCCATGGGGGAACCGAACAAACACGCATACGTCATAGTTGCTCGGAAAGTAGTAAAAGAGTGTTAATCCCAAGTAGAGGCCGTTTTCCAAGTACCATGTTGTTTCGTTGAAGCCGCTGTGCCATGGGGGAACGGAATTTGGGCTGAGTTCTTTTACTTTGGGCTGAGCGGTGTGCCATGGGGGTGGGCTGAGATCAGGTGTTGTGGGCTGAGAAACCCCCCGCACACGTACGGATTAATATGATCGCGTATTAATTAGAAATTGGTGAATTGTTGTTAGGTTAGAATTACAAAGAAAATTTATAGTATTTCTGCCTTGGTACTAATAGAAAGACTGATAGTAACAATGCTTACAAGGAAATTGATTTTAATAATTAATAACTATGATATTGAAACCGTTTCGGATAATGGCACGTCTATTCGTACTATATTTCTTTGATATGAAATATTGGCAAGTCATAAGAAAGAAAGGAACTTGTTTTGATTACGATATAAACCTAACGAGGTTATTAGAATATGAGTCATATTGCTATTATATTCTATTTTCTTATGCAATTATGAAAGCTAGCATAGCTGGTCTTCCGTTTGTATTACGATAGGAGTGAACCGCGAGACGCGTATATATCATACGGAAACTTGACGAATCCCTCTTCTTGACTATCTTAAGAAATAATTTCCCCCCCTTTTTCTCCCTTCCCCCCCTCCTGTCTCAAGACACTTATCCACCACTCTTCCACGCAAGCACGTAATAATGACGGCACCGATACGAAATATTCTTCGAATATAAAATGTAAATGGAATGGCGTTATATTTTGAAGAGAGAGAGAGAGAGAGAGAGAGAGCCTTTAAGTTTGTAGAAGAAGAGAGAAAGAGAGAGAGCGGGAGGGAGAGAAGGAGAAAGAGAGGGAACGAGAGAATGAGGGAAGAGAGAAAAGATAGAAAGAATAGAAAGAAAAATAAAAGAAGATAAGATCTTAGAAGAGAAAGGAGAAAGAAGAAATATACTAGAATGATTAAGATAAGAGAAATAGATAGAGAAGAATTGAGAGGACAGAGCTAATATGATAGATAGAGAGAAAAATAAAGAGATTAAGAGAACCGACTATTCTATATTCGATAGGAGTCGTTATAATTGAATTCATTTGATAGATTTATAATTAGACTATTCTAGATTTGAATTTCATTTGATTTTATAATTTTTTTTAAATGAACTTTTCATAGAATATCTCGTTCTTCTTTTCTATACTTTATTTCATCGAAATACGAAATTCTCACGATTCTGCTCTTCAAATCTATTCATAAAATCTTTCTTATATTATATTCTTGAGAACTCTTGATATAAAATTAAGAAAATCAATATATTTAATTTTTCGTATCTATTATGATTATGATGAATTCCGGAGCACGTAATTTATATGATTTGAATTCTCTACGTCGCTTCCCCCTTTCTTGAATAGCTCAAAAATAAATCTCCTTCAGCCCCCCCCCCCCCTTCTTGATTATCTCAAGCATGAATCTCCTTCCGCCCGCCGTTTTTCTTCATTATGGCAAGAATTCTCTTTCCCTACGCAAATACGAAATATGGTATACTGAAGATAGATAGATAGAGAGAGAGAATAGAAAAGAGAGAATAGGAATTAAAAAAAATAGGAGAGATAAGAGATAAGATTTAAAGATCAAGAAGAAAGACTAGAAGAAGAGAAAATAAGAGAAATTAGAATAGAAAGACAAAAGATTGAGAACGAAAAATAGAGAAAAAGAGAATCGATTATTATATAGATTCTATGAATCTCGTTATAAATCGAACAGATTCCACAAATCCGACAATTATAAATCCGAATCCCGTACAGATAGATTATCTCCATTCCTTTCCTCTCGAATCCTAAATCTTTGAATATTCTATCTCCTATCCGATCTATCCTATCTCTGCTTAGCAACGAAACGGGAAACCTATACGACCTATTCCTGAAAATTTATCGCGAATAAAAATACGGATGGAGCAAATCTTGTGCCAATTTAAATGGCCAAGCCAAATAGATACCCCGCCCCCCTCTTGCATATTGATCGATAATCCTCGGAAATGCCGTGAACTCCAATGACAAGAATCTTTCACCACCTCGGTATCCATCCTCTTCTTTTTTTAAAAGGGGGTGCGGGATTATGCTCAAATATCGTATCTTGTATTACTAGGCAGATGGAGCAAGATTTCTTCCATCGATTTATAGGATCCTTCTTGCTGAGATATTCGAAAAAATCTGTATCTTTAGTGGGGATAAGTCTTATCTATATGCAAAGCAAGTCCGATGCATATCCAAGACTACGATACGATAAGCTTTTGGCACGACTGATTACTTTGGGTACGACCCAAGATCAGATAAGTCGACTATGATTGCAGGCTTCCAGGATACGATGGGTGCCCGCGATATTGCCTATAATTTATATGATTACTTCTCAATACGTGAGATCGCTGTCCCGGGCACTCCTCTTCGATCCAAGTCTGCTCCATGCCACTCCGCGGCACTCCGGGGAGATTCCGACTGGAGAGCTCCTCGTCTATTCTGGCTTGATATATATTCCTTATATTTCCTATAATTAACGCTCAGTTAATACGCAATTAATATTATAATTAATATTACAGTTAATACTACCGAAATGCTGGGAAAACCAGCATTTTCTTCAAAAATATATAAAAAAAAACCAAAATTAGCAGCTTTTCTTTTTAAATACGTATATTCTGTAAAATGCTGATTTTTATAGTATTTCTATAGCATTAACTGTAATAATAACTATAATAATAATTGAGGATTAAGTACATATTAATTATAGAAAAGGCAGACTATGCAGTTATCATTTGTTACTCTGCTGAAATGCAAGGAAAATCGCGTACTGGTCGTTCAGAATTTATGTCATACAAGTTCTTTTCCTT